TATAAAAAAGTATATAGTCAATTTATATATAATTATGACCTTTTGTGAATGCATGCATCTGTGCAATCATGAGAGTAATGTTATATCGTTATTTTCATTCTCCAAATTATATTGCGAAGTAGTAGGTAGTGTGGTATCAACTGTGCGTGAAAGAGCTCCGTGTTAGACTTGTTTAAGTGCTTGATATGATACTTAAAACTAAGTTTTAAAGGTATATAGGAAGAGCTATTGACTGAAAAATGTTTTCGTTCTAAAACAGAGCCTCTACCGTGATTTTACGGTATTGACAGTCACTAGCGGCAGCGCCCCTAGTGGTTACCAAATGAATTAAAATGTTCTTTATTAATATTTGTTACTCACAGTAGGAATGTTGTTTTATAGTGAAATATGAATGTTTTTTGTTTTTACGCACAGATTCAAAGCCCCGCACTAGGGAAACCCTAGCGCGGCTGCTATGGACACACACATAGACAACCACAATGTACATCCAAACTCACGAAAGAAATACATGTAGGCCATACAAATTACATATAATAAAATACAAATTTGTAATAAAATACAAATTTTCACTCGGCTCAGGAATCGAACCCGGGACCTCCGCATCGCAGACCAGCATGGCAACCGATCGGCCACGATGGAAGTTAAATGAAAAAAATGGGCATATTAGGAATATCTATATAGCAATTCATTATTTTCTGCTTACTATTTAATAATTTAGAGCTGATGGCAATCTTGATACTGGGACATGTGTTTTTTTTTTGATATGGCAAGTTGTATCTTAATATTAGCGGCGTTGTTATACACTCCACCATTTTACTGAGCTCTATCAACTCCGTGTATAATGTACTTCATATTTATTTATTAGCGTCTTGAGGTACAGGGTCAAAAGCACGTCAAGCTTGACACTTAACACTTAAATCCAACTCTATGCCGCTTACGACAAGAACGCTCCAAAGCTAAGTACAAAGTGTCAAAGCTTCATGTGTTCTAAACTGTACATGATTATTATGAATTTAAACAAGTGAGCAATTATATGATAGTAGTAGAATATATTTTGAATGTTTTAAGTATTGGAAAGTATACACTTTCTTTAAGGTTATTAATTGAAATCTTTTGTGTTTTCAGGCTTCAGATTAGAGCTGCCCGAGACGATTGACTTAGTGTTAGAAACTGGAATTTGGTGAGTACCTACCACATAAGTATTTAAAAGATATACTTTCAAGTTACTCAATAATACCAAATCAACATTTTTTTTTTATTTTTACTTATCTGTGTACTCGTGGAAAACGCCTAACTGAAAATTGATAGCAAAAACGCTATGTCTAACAAAGAAAATATTTTTCTATAAGGGACGAATGTCCAATCTATTATAGGAAAATTAACTACGGCATACACTAACATAGTGCAATAATAGTTTGCCGGACAATCACACCTGTCTCAAACTAGGGAACTTCCTATATGATTACCAGAGCAACATAATTAACTCCTTCCTAAACCTAGAAAACCCAATGCAGTACCAATTTAGAAAGTTTGTTTCGTCCGTTCCTGGGGTCAATGAGTTCGTCAGTTTGCAAAGGTCTAAAACTGTACTTAGGTAAGCAATGCACCAAGTATCGTTAGTAAGTATTTTACACAGTAGTAGCAGTAGAGTTCCCTGTGAGAGTCCGTCCAGGGAAGTAATTACACTTTACCTATTTCTGTCGCCAAGTAGTAATGTAAACGTTACTGAAGGCTGGCTGTGCTCCTAAGGTCTAAGGTCAAAGGCGATTTAAAGCTGTGAGTGGCACTGCAACTGCTATGAACAGACATGTCGCTTAACACCAGGCGCACGACTTGTTCGCCCTGTCGTGGTCCTGTCACTTAGTATTATACAATAGTTATTTTTATGCAAGGCTGCAAAGTTGTTGTTTTACGCGAGTGCTTGTATTGAAACCTGAGCCAGCGAAGAAAGGTAACAAAAATAGATTCCTGAGCGTAGCGAAGGTTTCAAGGCACGAGACGCAAAACAACTTGCTGCCGAGCGAAATACATAACTTTTCACCTCACTATCACGAACGAAAAACTGTTGAATTATAAAACATCAGTTTTTTTAATTAAAAAAAAAAAGTTTATTTTCGATTATTTTTGAAATTATTTTAGCTCTTCGACGAATTAAAATAATTTAATAAAGACAATTACTTATCATTGTCAATTTATATATAAATATACCAACGGATTCATATTACATAAATGAGTAATATACGACAAATCGTGTAGTTGTAGTGTCGTTGTTTTTTTCTTCATCGAAAGTAAAACTTACTTGCACCACAGTCCATCGTCAAGTTCTAATGTCAAAAACTTTTTCCACGCTAGCGTGAAAAAAACGCTTTTGCGCGCATATTTTTATGAAAGAAAGCCTTTCCGTGCTAGTGAGGTGAAAAAAATATTTAACTGTCGGCCAATATTTAATAAACAAAGAAACCGATTTATAATTTTGATGAATTATTTGCGAATCGTTCTACCTTTGAATATTATAATAAAATTATATCAGTATTTATCATTTGATTAGTGAATTGTGAAATGTAAACGGGGTATTTTGTTATAAGTTAATACATGTAGATAACAATCATATTTTGTCAAGCGATTTAAAATCTAAAGCTTATAAATTAAACATGTTACTAGTGCATGTGAAGTTATCTCTTTCTATACATGTCTTATAATAAGCTAGAATAATCTAGAACTTTACATGGCAACGGTATATGAGGTCTAATTTTTTTAGGAACATAATACGTAATATTGATGATTTCATTCTTTTTGTGTTGAAAAGTGGTTTAATTTTAATATGAATTATTAATAATGCTTTTAATTCTGCCACTTTTTAGTGTTGAATACATAGAATTAATCGATATATACCTACTAAACAAAAAAATTAAAAAATAAAAATTTAAATAAAATAAATAAACAATTTTTGGGCTGTAGGCAAACATTTTGTTTTTAAATATACACGCCTTGTTATTCGCACAGGCAAAACTTAGTATAAGGTAATTTCGCGAAAAATTAAAAAATGTGGGAATTTTTCAGAATTTTTTTGAAAAATTGCAAAAATTTTATTCGAAGACTCATATTATACTACGTTTAGATATATATCTTTGAAAGTTTTTGTTAGCCGTTTTTGTTCTTGATAATAATATTAAAATATGATATATATGTATACATTTCATTATATTTGTAGCGCCTAGCAAGTGTCCCCTTTTTTTTCGTACAAGAAATCAAAGCTCTGTTGCCATAAAAAAACTTCCTAGTCATCAATATGATGATTTTATTTATTTTATTTTAGTGCTTTTTAAATGTCATTTAAAAGTTTCTCAGTTTGTTTACCGCCATTCTGCTGTTCTTAGTATAAATTGGCTACCATTTTTGTAATTATTAATTTATTCCATTTTCACAGTATATTTATAAAAAAAACTAATTTAATTTAAAAAGTATTAAGTCGTCTTTAGGCTAATTGTGAATATTTTTTGAAGTTTCAAATAATTTACAAGATATTAATATTAATATATTATATGTATATTAATATTATATTATATATTAATATTATAAGATAATAATATTAATAATCTACACCACGACTCGACAAAATATCCTCTACGACATTTTACCAACTTTACCATTTTACAAATTTACCAACGTCGATTTAACTAAGGTATGGTGACAATTGCAATCTCAATTCAGACATTTCTAAATTTTTTTAACTCTTACCACTGTCCTGGTAAGGAAGTTGAATGAACCATAATTGAAGACATTTAATGTCAATGTCAAGATAATATCCCGTCAGGTGCTACTGATTGGCTGTTTGATTTGTAGGTCAATGTCAAAAAACCAACGGGTGACGTACCTTAACACTCTAAGTCCATTTTTCAGGTGCCACTGCTGGCCAGATTCCTACTTGATTGATTGGTCAACATCATGGAACCAACCAATCGTGTACTTATCAGGTTGATGGTACCTGTTCGTTCATTTCTTGATGTTGGCATAAAAAGAACAGGGTTACCGAGCATGGATCTCTTCTAAACAGCGACAAACACAAGGCAATATTTTTCTAAACGGTTAGGTACACGAGTACAAAACACAAAAGAACAGAGCTATTTCGAAACTGCTACTGCTATTTGACACCATCCCGCTCGTCGTACTATAAACAATGCGGTATAAAATGTATCTAAAGTAAACCTACTCAAATATTACAAGATTATTTTCAGATACCCCGAAACTATTCGAATTTGATTAGAATACGGATAAAAAATCATCATGAAATATGAAATATGTAGGTAAAAATCATCTTGTTTTTTTAATATATTAAAAATATTAATTACAGAAAAAGTAGATTTAAAAACTTAATGGATTAGATTTTATTTTACACTGACAATTAAACTATAAGAGCCGTGGCAGCGTTAAAGCAGGCTTGAACCTCTGCTGAGTTTTTTGGAATTTCTGTGTGAAATTTAATTTTATGGGCCATCATGAACTTTTCGGTGAAGGAAAATATCGTGATGAATTCTGCTAGTCGAAGTGGAGTTCACAGCTCTTAAAAAACGTGCGAAGTCCTCAAATCGCATTAGGCCAGCGTGGCGGATTATGGCTTAAAAACTCGCATGAGAAGAGACCCGTTCCCAGCAGTGAGACTTATAAATGGATTGAAAATGATGATGAATGAAACTTCACTTTTCCATTCTTCAGCGCCCACATTGGGGGCAGAGACCCCTTTGGGTACTGATATTTTATACAAACAAAGCAACGCTTCGGGATCTTTACAGCTCACGGGTGACTGAGATGGTATTAGTGAAAACAAATGATGCAGGTTTGTTCAGAGTAGAAAAATGTTTAAACAAATTATTGGGAGCTGAAGAACGATCTTTCAGGTTAATTTATATTAGTAAAAATAACATTTCATAACTTAGACTGTACCATGAACTCTTTAAATAATAAAAAGGTACAAAATAAAGAACCCGTTAAGCTTGATACGTAAGATTTAAATTCAACTTTATGACGGTCTTTAGAGATGGACTTTAGTCCACAGTATCAAGACTCGTGTAATGTTGACAGTTGAAAATCTAGTTTTTTTTTAATCATCAGACTTATGTATTGTCTTCACCCATTTAAAAAAAAAATTAACAAAATTTCATAATTGTTTTTTACATTTATTAAAAAAATTTTTTTTATAAAACAACGAGCTTATTATATAAGCTTAGCTATGAATGAAATTGGATTCCTGCGGGTGCCCATGGTGCTTGCAGTATTCTGCCCTTATATTATATAATTATAATTAGTGCGTGATAAGGGAGTAAGCTTAGCACAAACTGTGTAGAATATATGCGCTTATACAGCACTAATTTTCAGCTCGTCAACAAAAGCATTCGAAGTCAGCAACGCTTCTATTTTTACCTAAACTACTAATATAACTATTTATACTGTGTACTAATAGTGCTGCGCCCATCGACTTCTGACTTATGCCAAATAATATAATATCCGGGCGCTAACTTAGCGTCGCCCAGTAGGTTCTACCTACTTTCATATATAATTCTATTTCATATAGGTTCTACCTACTGGGCGACGCCTGTCTTGTTAACACATCATTGTAGGTTCGAGCTTTCAACAAAGGCCAGAATATTTCTTTTTATTGCTAGGTATTTTAAGTGACTTAAATACTTTTAAGGTAAACATTTCGAAGAAAACCGAACCTCGGAGAAGTTTAAAAACCTTCGATGTGATAATGTGTAGACTGTGACCTTTGAGGAAACCGCTGCCCAGCAGTGTAAGATTAAAACGGTTGGTTAATAATAGGTCTGATTCATTTTAGAAAAGCAATAGCTACTGGCTCATTTTTATCACTCACAACGCTTTATTCAATAAATGATTATTTATTCAATTCAAAATCTCTGTGCACTTTATCGGCCAAGTTTCTTAGTGTACACCGCCACGCGTTGATATTTACAAACTATTCAAATGGTCCACTGAAAATAGAACCTTACATGGTTTTTGTAGTGTTCAAATTCGCAATATTAAATGACATTTTTTTGTAAAGTAGTGAGTGGCTACGTATGCGCAGGCAGGTCCGCGAAAGACGCCCGCGCACCTACCCAACGCATTCCTTCGCCGACGTCGTAGCAAGCGGACGCGTCTCGCGCGCTTGTCTTATCGCTTTTT